ATGAACATAAACATTGAGCAGTGCTCATGGTTTCGTAATCAGATCGAATGCATATATGCAGTGTGGAGCTGAAGTTGGAATTGATCAAAGGCATCCGTTTTTAAGGGCATATGATCCAACCGACCTGAAGGCGTGGTCTGGCGGACCTGGTCTATACGAGCTTGTGAATGACTTGAAGAATACCGATCCAGGACTTAAGACATTACTGTCGTTTGGTGGATGGACATTCGGAACTAAGCTCTTCAAGGTTTTTCTTCATTCTGATCTTTATTTAGAGCAGTCTTCATTGTTAATCGACAGTGATCAAAGTATTGAAATGGGGTGTGCGAGAGTGTGTCTATTCATGTTGGTTGAAATTATTTGAGAGATTGGGTTGGCCAAGCAATAGATTTCTATGGAGCAAAAGATAATTTGGTTGATGCACTACCGTAAATCAAAATGACGATTCGTAGGTTAAGAACTGAGAAATATTTAAGGCCATGGGAAAAACAAGTGCGACGCGAGCAACGTTCATCAATTCAGCTATTGCGTTTGTTCGAGAGCATGGTTTCGATGGAATCGATATCGACTGGGAGTATCCTCTTGCTGATGATAAGAGCAGTTATGCAGCTCTGATAAAAGTAATATTTGTGTCATTTCAAGCAACATGGAATTTAAGAGTGTAGGTCTGCATAGGCATTTGTGGTAAAAATAATGAGCTGAATTGCATTCCGAAATTAGGATTGAATGCAGAATACGCTTGTAAGAACGGGGCCACAATCAAAATTAGACGAGGTTCCTTGAGGAATAATACACTGATGTGTTTCTTTGTTAAGGAATTGAGAGCTGCTTGCGATGCGGAGGCTTCAAGTACTGGACGTGCCCGCCTCCTGATCACTGCTGCTGTTACTGCGGCTAAATCGAAAATTGAGGCGGGGTATGACGTCCCTGCAATGGCAAAGTAAATTTCCATGAATACTTTCGAATAAAATTTTCTCTAGCTCTTTCTGAATCCAGACAACAAACCTTTTGCATGGTAGATTCACTGACAAAATTTTGACTTGTCGCCACGTTCAGAAATATGGATTTCATCATGTTGATGTCGTACGATTTCCACGGTGCCTGGGATACAAAAACTGGCTTCAACAGTCCTCTACACAGCCGCTCCGATGAAAGCGCCGACGAACAAACATGGAACACCGTAGAACATTTTGATATTCTTACTTTATCATTGTACTTTTCAGTGAATTCGTAATGTACTTCTCGCGATCTACAACCGAAGACAATTGATGAATGCATTTTAAGGAATATGGAGCAAACTTTTGGGCATCTCAAGGTATGTCACGCACCCAGATTGCCATCGGAATCGCCCCCTATGGTCGAGGATGGACTCTCGCAGACTCATCGAATACAGCTGTCGGTGCTCCGGGCGCTGGTCCTGCAAAGAAGTTAGATTATACGCGTGAAGCTGGTATAGCCTCATACTTTGAGGTGCGCACACTTGAATACACTTATAATGATGAAGATTAATTGAATGGCACCTTTAGAAGCGTTGGTGAATGATGTTGATCAATGACGAATTTACTGCGAA